TTATAATAACAAATGACTGAGTTCAAACAGTTATCACTGCAGATTAATCTGTAAATCTGCATGTTTGCTTTGGTTCAGTGTGACGTGCATTTCTTTTAAAAGTACACTTTTATTGAGCCTTTATGCAGCTGTCATGGGAGGCATTTTACAAAACAGACAAGTTATGTAATGTAATGTGGATAACACATTTTCTATGCATTATCTACTTTCATATCAGTGATGCACTGACTAATGCGCCACAAAATGTTGTTTAAATCCCAAAGTCWTTAAGACCTGATGCTTTTTTGTTGTTTGTTTCCAACTGCGAGCAATGAATACTTGACAACAGCATTTTCCATGAGCACAAAATATTTCTATTAGCTTTTTGAATATTASAAAACCATTGGGGTAAAGTTATGATTGACAGTGAAAATAAAAGAGCAAGCATTTTTACCCCCCTTCCCTCATTTTTCTTTAGAGGATGAGAAASAAAAGGTTTTAGCTGACAAGAGTACATTTCTAGAAATCCCTCAGGTTTTTTTTTTAAATGAAATTGCTTTTGCCATAAGGGGTTATGTAGTGTCCTGAGATGACCTAAAAAAATTAATGGTTGAAGCTTCAATGTACACATTAAAGCAACATAAATAAAATCTATAATCCAAAATTAAGTAGTTTATTTAGCTATAATTTTCCTGGGCAATTAGTTGGAATCAATGTTACCTTAAGTTTGCAAACATTAATGATAATTTAAAAGCTTTGTTGGAGATTCTACAGCATCAGCTGAAGAGATCCCACTTTTTAATTTACCATTAATGTGCCCTCATTTACAGAGCCAGAAACCCTGCAAAGCTTCATTATTTACAAACTTCATTTCTTTAAAGGGCCAATATTATGTGTTTCTCAGGCATATATTTAAATACTATACCATAATAATGTATATATGTCACCTTTAGTTGTTATTAAAATGCTGTTTTTATGTTTAAATAGCAAATAAACTTATCTTCTCATCACTTCCTCTTCTAAACGCCTTGAAATTGGCCTCTGTCTCTTTAAGAACCTCCTTTTGCTTTCGTTTTGCCCATTTCGGTGCGGGGGGAGGGGGACTGGGGTGG